AAAAAAAAAAAAAAAAAAAACACTTTCTAGCTCCTACGTCTAGAACACGCACCTGTAAACCTAAACCAAAACAAAGATCAACCAAGCAATCCGCCAATTTAGCATCCACTCAATCAACCAATCAATCAATCAGCCAACCATCCCGATTAGGAATATCATACGTCAAGCAGAGCACACAATGGGCAAAACTTTCCTTTTTCATAAGCGTCTTTTTCCTTGTATGGGGGTGTGCATTTCTTTCTTGATGTGTCTGTGCGCCATCCTTGAATGTGCACAGGGCCCTTGCGGATTATTAGCCTTCTATGTGCTGTCAGAATTTTGACGGCTGTGATGGCCCAAAGGACATGGTGGGGTAGCTTCCCTGCAGACTCCACGCAAAAAAAAAAAAAAAAAAAAAAAAAAAGGTCTCTCGCTGTGATCTGCAACATCTAGCCACTTCAATGATCAGAATGGTTCGCTCATTCGGAATGGTTCACTCATTCGGGGGACTTGCATGGTCGTCCTCCTGACAATTCTAACATGCACCTGGACTACATCCACAAACAATGCATTCAGTGCACGTCGACACGAATTCGGCTCCAATTCGGGCAAAATGCATGATCATCTTGTGGTGAAAACGGCTGGCGAATTGCTGCTGGATTCACTTTTGCATGTGTATTTTCAGCAGCGGAGAGCCGGCCATCCCAGGTGCTTGGGAGATGCATCCTTGAGGAAAGGCTTGAAACATGCACCTGGACTACATCCTGTAACGATGCATGCAGTGCATGTGGACAGGAATTCGGCTTCAATTCTTCCAAAATGCATGATCATCTTGCAGTGAAAACAGCTGGCGAATCGCTGCTGGATTGACTTTTGCGTGTGTATTTCAGCAGCAGAGAGTCGATGGTCTGCCCAGGCGCCTCCAAATCCTTGAGAAAAGGTTCCAGATCCTCCCACAGCCACTTGGCTCGTTCGCCGAACAGAATCCCAAACCTCGCTGCAGGAGCAGACGGAAGATCTCGTGCTCGAAACTCCCTCACCCATACCTCCCCGCCCACACTCTCCACCAACACTTCCCCCTTCAACATCTCCACATTCGGCTTTACAGTCATACTCTCTCCTTGAGGCACATTCTGCTCCCACGACTCCATGAAGTCGTCAAGTCGCCACTTGGCGACACCTGCCAAGAGTTGGCGAGCTCTGTGCACGCAGAGCTTCCCTCCATCGAGGCACCACAGATCGTCATCCTCGACATCACCGCCGCCCTCTCCGCTCCCTACCCCCTCTCCATTCTTCTCCGTCTCAAAAACACTTCTTCTACCGACGTCAATGTCCATTGCCTCGCCACCCTTTTCCGCAGCACCCTCCTTCGATCTCTCACCATCGCTCTCGCGTTGCCTAAGGTCTTTCGTCACCCTCGATCCGTACACGCTGAGGCAGTGCCGTACGATATACGAGGCGCATCCGTCGTGCTTCAGGCCCTCAACAACTACCGACTCTCTGAGTGACCGCATGTCCCAATCCTTCTCAATTATCGTTAACAACAAGATGTCGAGAACCCCTGCAAGGAATTTCTCATCCACCAATCTCCACCGCCCGTTCACTTCCAGTGCTCGCAGAACCCTCAGAGCGTCACGTACCTCTTTCTCGCTTGCTTGCACCATCTCCAAGAGTTCGTCGAGAGTGTAACCCCTCTTTCGATGTGACGGACGATGACGCATACTTCTGCCGATTTCACCTCCACGATGATCATTCATGACATCGCGCCCATCTACACCTGCATCCTTGCCTTCCTCCTGCTTTTCCTCTTCGTACAGCGCATTCTGATCTAGCACGCACTCACCCAAGAGCTCTTTCAACCTCTCCAACCGCGGCGGGACTGGCGATATCTCCAAGTGTCCTGACGCTGTTGCCAGCACTTCAATCTTCTTCCTGTCGTTCTTGCCAATCGAAATTTGCTGCTCCGTTGTGTCAGCCCCTTCACCATTACCCATGTCATTTATCGACTCTGTTCGCATAGCTTCACGATCAGTGCTTCCCCCCTCCCCCCCCCCATCAGCATTCACTGATTTGGCCACCTGACAGTATCCAGGTGGGGGAATAAGCAGAACTGTGTTTGACGTGCCGACATATTTCACTGCGAACGTCTTTTCCGAAGTGCACAACACAGCCTCATCGTCCCCACACCCTTTCAAGCATACTCCACCTAACACCACCTCCTTCAACAAACTTTCATCGACTTCCATTAATCTAAGATCTACCTCGCTACCAAAGTCAGGTCCATATAGCAATGAGCATGTGGTCCCCACATCCAGTTCAAGCCCCCCCATACTAGAGAAGATTGGGTCGTCCTCTAACCCTGCAAAATGTGACCTGGTACACCGGCAGCGAAACACGAAACCTGAACAGTGTCTGTACTACCGAAGTGTGTACGGGTCCCTCCCTCACCGACAAAGTACACGGTGCCAAGGCACCAAGAGCACGGGTAATTGGGAAGTGCAGAAGGGTCTAATCGACGCTAGCGCATGGTGTCATCTGACAGCGCAGAAGGGTCTAGAGCATGTGTAATCTGGAGGCGTGGAAGGGCATAGCAGTACACAGAGATGGAAGTCTTGGGAACCACAGTTATGTACGGATTTCAAGCCCTAGCGCAATGCAAGGGGAGTGACGAGTAGTGGCAGTGAAGCAACGGCTCAAAGGTCTAACGGAACTCAAATACATCCCGCATACGGCGCTAAGTCTCACAAGCACACCAGTCCAAGCAGGAGGTCTCACAAGCACAGATGTCCCATGTCTCTAGGGGCGCACAGGTCCCAAGGCTGGAGTTCCGTGATCATGGGAAGCGCAAGGGTTGATTCTCGTGGTGCTAACAGAGTAAACCGCAAGAGACTCATAAGCCCACAAGTTTCAAGCCTTAAGTCTCACACACAAAGTCTCGGCAGTGTCAGGAGAAAAAAAAAAAAAAAAAAAAAACTTCTCAGGGGCAAAGTCCCAAGTCCTAAGCCTCTCACATAAGAGTCCCAAGCCTTAGGTCTTGAGTCCCACAAGCACAAGTCCCAAGCCTTAAGCACACAAAGTCCCAAGCCTTAGGTCTTAAGCCTCTCAGGGGCA